CCGCCACCGCTAAACCACCATGCCATCCACTTGACGCATATGCCACTTTTCAGATTTCCCTGTGTTTATGCCCGTATACCTCGAGCGTATACCGTCTTTTCTAATTTTCTTTTTTCCCTCTCTCTCTCTCTTTCTTTCTCTCTCTCTCTCTCTCTCCTTTTCCTATCGACCGTGAATTTCCTCGATTCAGAAATAGAGGGGACGGAAATAACGGCCGGTGATGTACAGGTTGATCTTTATCGAGTGATCAGAGACTGTTACGTGTCTGTCTGATACGAGTCCCGAGGACATGTGGAAATATTGTTCGCGTGGGGAATAATTGGGTTTGGCTTCGTTGTTTGAACGAAGATTTCGCGATTAACTGGTTTTTCCTTTCGTTTGTCTTTTCGTTTCTCTCTCTCTTTTTTCTCTTCCTTTTTTTCTTAATTCCAGTTATTACGATAATTTTAACAAACATAAAATCTAATCAACGCGTAAACAACTTTTCAAACATCCAATTTTATCGAATACAATCGTTCGAATATTCTACACGCAATAATAATAAACAAAGCAAATATCTTTGTTAAAACTAAAATATCTTTGTTAAAAACGTAAAAAGTGGAAGATGCCAATTACGCTCGTCAGACCCTCGACGCCTCGTTCGAAATAATATCGAAGGAAAAACTCCAACTGCATTGAAACTCTGTACTGGATAAATAGGAAATTTTTGAAGAAGGTTGCTTTTTGAAGAAGCGCTACGGTAGATTTTACAAATTTGACGTAGGTGCGCATACAGCTCGCTTGTACGAGTTGAGAGAAGGAAGGAACCGTGGGCTACAAGTTGACGTCACACCGTGTACTCGGTTGCAAAGATTCTCCGTTAGCGCTTGGGTAGAAATGTACGACTTGGTCAAATATTGAATTCCGCGGAAAATTCTGAGAAATCAGGCCACATGGTTACACGGCTCCATCCAGGTAGAATGGTATCCGTTCCGTAGAAAAGCTCGTTATTACACAAGAGGAGCGCCTGTTCAAACTCCGGCCATTGACGAAGTTGGTTCTACGCGGTTTGATTTGCTCATCATCGTCGCTTACAATAGCCTCCGCGATCTTTCCTGGGGAACATCGTAACGAACACTTCAATGATGTAACAAAGCAAAGAAAATTTTAACCTTTATCGAGGTCGCGACTCGTTCAATTTTTGAACCCGTACGTATTCTTGTCAATTTGTATTTGTATCTTTAATCGTCTGTATATCGTGATTTTCCTCGAATCGAATATTCTCTCTCTCTCTCTCTCTCTTTCAGAAATTATTGGAATATTTAAAGCGTAAACTTTTTAATCAAGAAATTTATACGAATAATTAACGATGTCATTGAATGTTTTTGTATACAAGAATACAAAGAGTGATTCGAGAGAGAGAGAGAGGGAATATTTGAAGTGTAACGTTAATTAAAATCTTCGATAATTTGGTTACGATTTTACCGTAATACGATGAATAAAATGCATATATTGAAATACTGCGGGGTAACGTAACAATAACAAAACAATGTGACGTATAATAATATAATTTAACAATCGTTATTCGAAACAATACGTAGAATTAATCAAACTTTCAGTATTTTATCGAACGTTTTCTCGAATGTTGACACTTGTATTATTAAGACCGATTGAAAATTAATAAATCGTTCTATGAATAATTTCCCGTAATACCAAATAATATAACGTTTCGAGCAACGCTCGAAGAATACGAAGAACGAACAACGATCCTTTCGCTTCCAATCTGCGATCTTTCAAGTCTTTCAAGTCAAAATTGCCACCTTTGAATCTCCAACACCATTCCCGTACAAATCTCGTCCGCAGTATCATTTGCACTATCACCTTTCTCTAAACCATAACACATCATAAATATCCTTCCTTTTTTCCTATTCATATCGAACGTAGAAAAAAAGTTTTAAAACACACTGCGTCACCAACGAAAGGTACTTTAAAAGAGTTCTGGGAAGACTAATAGATAAGTCTGCATGTTCATATAAAAATAATCAATTAAAATTTCTTGTCGCATTAACAAACTTATGGGACACCCTAATAAAAATTTCCACCGAAATAAGAAATAAAATGTTGCTCTTTCCTCGAGAATTCTTCGTATCTCAACAATACAACAATTATTAAGCGTCTTCTTAATCGTCGCTCTCCGCGCAACAGTGCCAACAGACAACCAACACCCGCCCCATTCCCACGCTAATTAACGTTTTATCATGGAGAATACATCGATTACATTACATCTCATGATCCCTAAACGTAATTGTGATTCAATTCCTAATGCGCGTGCACCAGCCACCGTGTCATGGCATGAAATTCTCCCGATTTCCGTTGACGTTGTTTTGCGGTCTTGGCTATCGGAAAAGAGAGCGTTTACTTTCAATGGTTAATGGCTGATGACGCGCGGTGAACGTAGCACCGACCAATCGATAATCGTCGCCCGTCGAGTCCCTCAACGGTCGTTACAGTTGTTCCATATCTTTTCCAATCATATTCTCCTTCTTTCGCCGATTTTTTTTTCTTAATATTAAATTCGAGGAGAGAGAGAGAGAGAGAGAGAAAGAGAGAGAGAGAGATTAAGAATTACTTTAATTCCGTTCGATTTTTCTTTCCTTTTTTTTTCTGTCGATACGGAAATAAATTAAAGATAATTTTTTTTTCTTCATCAAAATTATCGATACCTCGTTAAAAAGTAACAAGTAACATCGCGTGAGCGGTTGGAAACACATTGGGAATTGGAGATGCCGGTGATCTAGAAGGGGGTTCGGGCTCTAATTATTAAACCGCCCTCATCAATATTCCAGTCAAGCAGAAGATACGTAGCGGAAAACGCGCGAAACGATGGTCATCGAAACGTGAATAATTACCAGTGGTACGATGAATGCGTAATGAAAGCTGTATTAATTATCATAGATAATTAAACACCGCGAACACGCTCTATGTTTACGAACAATTAACAACACAGGAATTAAGCCCACGATCTTTTGAAATTTTGTAAAAGAAAGAAAGAAACAACTTCGAAACAGCTTCGTTGTCGGAATTAATTTTTTAATCGATGAGGAAAGAAAAAAAGAAAAAGAAAATATCGAATCTATCGAACCTCTTCCTTCCCTTCGTTTCGCGCCTGCCCTTGAAAACGCATCCTAAAACCACGCTCCGCTTCAAACTTTGCATAAACGTGGCCACGCGTCGGAGAAGAAACTTGTTCCCCCCTTGTAACTACTCGTTAAATATTTCCACGATAGTCGAATGACGAGTTCGCTTGGATCCAAGCGACGACGAGAATTGGATCGACGGGGTGTAGCGCGGAGAAAGAGAAAGAAAGAAGGACAGAGAGAGAGAGAGAGAGAGAGAGAGAGAAATCGACGAGGAAGAAACGATTACATCGGATCCCTGGCGTTACCTGGCCGGTAACAGTACGGCTGTAATCTCATCCAGCCACTCGGCTCACAGCGACGCTTTTTATCCTATTACGTCACATGAATAAACTAAAGACCCATGGAGTCCGCGACACGCCGGAGAGATCGCGGGTTTGGGGCTCGAGGCGTGCTCTCTCCGCTGGAACCACCCCCGCGCGGAGAGGGATGCTCATCCGCGTGCGGATGGTTCGACGAGAGCTGTCAGAGGGGAAAAAAAAGAGGAAGAGGAAAAGAGGAAGAGGAATAAGCACGAGGAAACGGAGTGCGATTGATTCTGTTCAGATCAATTGGTGATGCGTGGAAGGGGAAGATGTTTGATTGTAGAATCCTTGGATCGTTCGTTTCGATGCGAATTCGAAGATTGGGGGTTGGAGATAATCCTTGATGTGACATAAACGGAGATGGGAAAGATTAAAATTAGATTGTATCCAGTGCGAATATTGGAATTTATATTTTGTTATATCGAAGTTATATTGGTTGAGAGGAGTTTGATAAAAAAAAAAAAAAAAAAAAAAAAAGGGAAAAAGAAATTGATCAAATATTTATTATAATTTGAAAGATAGATATTTTGGGAAAGATGGAGTGTTGTGCGTGAAATCAAGTTTGCGAGGCAATATCGAATATTATATAATGTATGAATAATTTATGCCTTATTAAATATAGTGATAATTGTTCGCTATAATTCAACAGTATACAATGCTTGTTAATAAATTACAAGGCTTATGAGGAGATATTTAATACCCATTTCCTTTGATGACGATCGAGAAAGATTTCGTTGCCAATTTTTGGATCGATGAAAATAATAAAAAGAAAAAAGAAAAAAAAAAGGGAGGAAGAAAATTCCATCGATCAGAAGGGTTGAAATCGGAATAGAAGCATATTCGCGGAGGGTATGCACGGCGGTTAAGCGTCGGCAAGATAAACGACGGATGCACGGAATGTGTGATACATGTGACAGGGGAAAGTTGCGGCCAATGAAAATGGATGATACGAACTTTCAACGTCTCTTTTTATCGCGCTCCTACATTCCAAACCGTATCAAGACCGTTGTCTCTTTCAACCTTCATGTATAATGTATCACCCTTTTGCGGATTCTTTAATCGCGATATACCGATTTATGTTACCACCTCGAACGATTTCTTCTCAATCCCGATGAAATAATATAATCCGATTTACGCGGTGAAAGTTTAATTCCCGCGTTTCAAATTAAGCAACAACCCGACAACCGATTATATCGATCGGTATATAAATAATCTTAAATTTATTTAGATTAACGATTTATTCGTTTAACGAGACGATCGAGACATCGACAAAAGGAATTCGACTCCGTTCAAAGCTTTAAATCTCTTTCCTATATCCACTTTACAATTTATCCAGGTCTCGTCAAAGAGCGAGATCTTTTATTAAGGGACATCGATCCCTTCCCCCCTTCTCCCTCCCCCCTCCCCCTCCTCCTCCTCCTCCTTCCCCAGCTCGAAGAAGGATAAGCATAAGAACGTAACGGGGTGAAATAAAAGATGACGGGACGAGTGTGAAACGGTGAAATGAAAATTTACTCACTGTAGGATTGGGCATACAGCGTCGCGGCGGCGGCGGCATGGGGTCCGGTGCGGCACGATAAGGAGGCGGCGAGTACCTTCCCGAAGGGAAACAGCCAGGGGCGGTGATCGGTGCCCCGTGGAGCCCCTTGCTCCCCATCATCTTGTCCGGTGAGTACATCATCCTGCTGCCAGCCAAGTCTAAGCCGCCTAAGCTTAGACCTAAACCAGTCGAGAACCGGCACCCTCAAACGGAACGACTCTGCTTCACATCAGTGTCCGCGGTGTTCGCATCTGTGTGCGCGAGAATTATCTCGACGTCGTCCCCCCCCTCTGTCTGCAACTCTTCTCTCTCTCTCTCTCTCTCTCTCTTTCTCTCGCTCTTTCTCTTTCTCTCTCTCTCTCTCTCTCTCTCTCTGCCCGACCAAGCAGATTGTCTTCCTCCTTTCCACTTTCACTTTCACACCCGAAGAAATCCACCCGATTCGTTTTATCGTAGAGTATCTAAACTCGAGCTCGACTCAACAACACACGCCTCTTCTCTCTACGAGCCAGTAGCCACCACTCATCCTAGTCGTAGCGGATCCACCGATTTATCTGCGCTCGCTCGTCGAAAGGATCGCGGATCCCTTCGCATGATGCACGACGTACGGGATGCTGCACAACACGATCGCATCCACGTAAGACTGCTCGCACATCTGCTCGCCGCTTTCGTCCTCTATGTCTCGAGCATGGCGACGGTCGAACGGATCCCGGATTCGTCCGACCGATCCTTGGCACTTCACTTAAAGAAAAACCTGATGATGCGTTCAGCTTCTCGATATTTATATTCCGTCCCCGCGAATACAATACGGACACGTATTTAATCTTCTTGTAGGGCGTACATCGGCGTACATCGAACGAACGTCACAGCGTGCCGCGAACAAACAGGTGAAGGAAAATTCCGTTCCGCGACGGAAGTGGAGAGCCGTCCGTCCGTCACCGTCACCGTCGCCGTCACCGTCACGGGGGTGAACATTCGAAAATTCACAATTCGAAACTGGGGGGGGAGATGGGGGAGGGAGGGAGGAGGAGGAGGAGGAGGAGAGAAGAAAAAAAAAAGATGCGAGCTGCGTTGCCGTGTATAGAAGCTTATAGAAACGTATGTATATATATATATATATATATGTATGTATGTATGTATGTATATATATATATATATATATGTATATAGAACGTGGAAACGCGGGATGCCGTGTCGTCCTGAAGCTGTGCACTTTTTGGCGCTGACTGGCCGGCCAAGATTGCTCCGTGGATGAACTCTTCCACGGGGGATGGAGGAAGAAGAGGGAAGAAACAACGAACGGGGGCGAACAAGAGGGGGTGGGTTGGAGAGGGAGGAGGAGGGGGAGGGAGGGGGGATGACCGGTCCGATCCAGCAGCAGATTCGCGGAGTGGCGCGTGCTCGGCAGGCGGAGGGGTTGCTCGCCGTTTCACCACCGGGTGGAAGCCGCGGACGAGCGGAACGAGCGGAGGGGTGAAAGTCGTGCAGGGGGCGGAGCCTGCCGCACCGTCACGCTTGCGCCCCTGCGCTCGTCCCAGTCGGCCATCTTTGCCCTCGCTTTCGCGCCCCGCATGGGTGTCGCTAACCGCGGCCACCCCGTTCGTCCGTCCTCCCTGCCTTCTACCTTCTACCTCTCCCCTCCCACCTCTCCTCCCAACCCCTGTCCCTTCCGTCCTCCCTCCCCTTCCCGCACCACCACCGACGCGTTACACGCCCTTCCTCGGCCGAGCCGCCGCCGCCGCCGCCCCCCTCCAGCCATCCATCCGCCCGTCCACCCCTCCCGCCTCCACCCCCAGCCGAACCTTGCCTCGAAACCCGCTTCAACCTTGCCTCTGAGGCCGAAGACGCCTCGCCTCGCCTGTCGTCCACCTACTTTTCTTTCCCTCGCGTCCGCTCGCTTTTCTTCGACCACCGCGAAATCTCTCTCCGGCTACTGCTGCCGCCGTTGGATTAGTTGGCTCGCGTCGTAAACCGGCTGGTCGGCGGCACCAGTCACCCTTTGTCAGCCAAGGTCGCTTACGCAGCTCCTTCTCCCCACGCGTCCCACCGCTCCTTCTTTTTCAATCCTTCTCATGCTCTGGAATTGTATCAATATAGTTTTCGATCATCTGGATGCGAATTAGTTTCACGGAAGTATCGCACGGATTCCCTTTTGTCGTCTTCTATTTGTGATACCCGCTACTCGCTACCGTATTCGTCGATTCGCGTTACTTGGCGAGTTAGAGATTTTTAAGTTTGATTATTTTCAGGAAGGTGTTTTAATTACGCGTTTGACTCGATAGTGTCGGAGCTAGTATTTTCTTTCTTTATTCCTCCGTTTAAGTATTATTATTACACCGAAGTAGTAAGCGTGGTATATTTATATTAACTCCATTGAAAACAGGGTGGAACAAAGAAAAATGGGTAAATAATCGAAACAGCCTTTGTTTCCTTCTTGACGCTGTTGCATTTAAAAAAAAAAAAAAAAAGCATCGCATACATTATTCGAAAGAATAATCGATTTGTCTGTGTAACGTATTCGATTGTGGTTAACCTGTGTCGTTTGAAATGATTATTATTTAAAGCGGTCTTTTACATTGCGCATAAATAATGCCGTTGAAACGTATTTTTGCTTCCGACGGTAATAATAAATCTTCTTTGAATATTCAATTTTTATCAACGAGTTAAAATAATCGTGTATACTTATATACACGTAAAAATCGATCGAGCAAACACGGATAATTTTCAACCCTATATTCTATTCTTCTTCGAGGATTTCCAACATTTTAAAAATGCACGATCGAATCGAATGCAAGTAGTAAAGTAGTAAAATTCACGTAACTGTTCGAATCAATTTCCTTTCCTTATTCAACCTTTCAGGGTAGCTTCCAACCTTGAAGTTTGGCGTTTTCTGTACAATAATCTCATCTCACGTATACATCCGAAACTCGAGGAGGTGAATCGAAGGTATTTTAACGATCAGCTGTGCCGCCGTTTGATCGGCCGCGTCCTCGTAGTAAGTGCAGATTTGTGTGAGCTATTTCATAATGAATTTTTAAAGTGTCATGGACCCTTCCCTAACCCAGATCCCCTCCGTTGCTCCCACAAGGCTACGGGACTTTCGTCGATCCAATAAACGAGTAAAGCCGCGTTTCACGCTATTCTTCGCTTCTCAATCGGTGAACCGACCAACCGAAGGCGAAAACCTTCGTTATCCGATTCGATTCGAAATTTCAATCCGTCTCTCACCATCGTTTCGAAAAAAAACGAAAGATATATCTTATATGGAAGGAGATATAATCCATATAAAAAGTTACGTACGCACGCGTTTATCGGTCGAACGGGAGGACAATCGTGTTGATTTTTCCAGGGCGAAAAAAGGGAAAAGGGGGAGGTAATGGGAAGAGCGGAGGAAGGAGAAGGAAGAGGGAAAAGACGGTACACACGAGATGGAACCGCGGTCGGAAAAGGGGGAGGAAAGGCGGCGGTGGAGGAGGAGGAGGAGGAGGAGGAGGCGGGTTGCGAGTTTGGCGGCAGTCGTTTTCCAAGGGATGTTGGGCGGAAGGTTCCCGCGGGGCCTGTGTTATCGCCTCGGCAGGATGACCAGCCCGCGGTATCAAATATTAAACCTACTTGCACCGGCAGCCTATCCTCGACAAGGTATCCAAACCTTCCCTCCGACCGACAGAGATCCCTCCGCGTATCCCTCCTCTATCCACGGGTCACCACCGCTGTCTGCCATCAAAACCTACGCCTAGTAGGTTTACCGCCGCGATCCTTGCACCTCACCCGTTTCCCACTTGAGAAGGAAACGTTTCTTCTACGTTCCTTGTTCAACGAATTGATTCTGAGAGAGAGAGAGAGAGAGTTAAGGAAGGATGGTTAATATACGAGGATGCGTGGGATTCTTGAGATTTTTTCAGAAGGAGAAGAGGGAAGATTTTTTTTTTTATTATTATTACAGTTAGTTTTATGGAGAATTTATTTTTTGGAAAATTATTTTTTGGAAGGAAGGAACGTTTTCGGTTAGACGCGGTTAGGGAACACGCGTGTAATCGGTTGTCGGTTGCAAGCTACATTCGATAGACGCGTCTCAAAGGAGGGTAATAATTAGAGTGGTAGGCGGGGTTGCTCGAAAATGGGGTAAATGAAAGTTAACCTGGAATTACGTGATCGTGATATGTTATTTCTTTAATTAACGTAATAATAATGCGTATATTTGACGACCGGATGCGTGGCACGGCGTGCAACGCACAAGGGTTGAAACCTCGGATGGTTCACGCAACTACCCTTCGTTCTACGCCACGATCTGTCCGCGCGTATTCTTAAAATCGTTTAATCCAGGGAGGGAGAAGCGTTCGTCGAAGACGAGTTTAAATTAAAAAAAAAAAAGGAAGGCGAGAAGGAAAATTTGAAATCGACGATGTCGTTTTCTTAAATTAAAAATAAGTAGGGAATCAATGATTTACGATATTTTGCCGGTACTCGGGAAAATTCATACTATTTACGTGGGGAAAAATACTAAATAACTCAGGAGGAATGGAAATTATTTTCATCGGTTTAATTCTAAAAACGGTAATTCTAAAAACAGGCGTACCGTTACCGAATTCCCCGGCATTACACGGCATAAAATTGCCAGCAGTAGTAGTGGTCCTTATGAATTCATGCATGCAATTCGAAAGAAAGAAAAGTATAACAAAAACGCTAGGGCTGTTTCAAAATTCTCTGCATGATGCTCGCCGGTCCTTGAATATTTCAAGGAATAAGTGTATGACGGAAATATGAACGTACAAGTACCGGTTCCGCACAATATACGAAATACCTGTACGCCCGCATACTTGATTCTCGTTTCGAAATTTACCATTCTAATCGAAACCGTCGATACGTTGAAACGTCCTCGTCGATTATTCCATCGTAGAAGAATTATAATCGTTTCACACAACGAATTTTTCATCCCTGTCGACCCGTACTGTCGATCAGTTGAAAATATTATTTATTGAAGATAAATAGGGTTTTTGGAATTTTTTACTCGCGAATCGGGAAAAATTGGTAAAGTTGCAAAAATTGGACGGCGCAAAAAGCGTAACCGTTAAATGGTGAAGCGTGGAATTAAAAAAAAAAAAAAAGAAAAAAAGGAAAAAAGGAAAAAAGGAAAAAAAAAT